AAAAATTTTTTTATAATATTTTTATATAATTTTTTCATAGTATTAAGTAAGTAAATGTATTCAATATTGCATGTTTTAAATGAATTAAAAAGTTAATTATTAAAATAATATATAAAATTGTAAAAAAAATAAAAAATTATTTCTAAATCATTTTTGAAAATAAGAAAAAAAAAGGGTAAAAAATGATACTTTGCTTTGTGGATGGTGCCAAGAGCGCAGGGTTCGAATCCAAACGCCTGCATTTAGATCCCCTCCTCGCCCCCTCAATTATCTCTTTTTTTTTTTTTTTTTTAAAGGATAAATTGGTAAAAGACCTTCAGGTATATCAGCAGATATGACGGCCAGTTCTGTCAGTAACCATAGGCAGTATCTCACATATTTTGGATACTCAGCTTTGCATAACTCAGCCAGATGTTTTCCTGAAAATTAATTAATAAAATTATAAAAATAAAAATTTAAGCAAATTCATATCAATTAATTGATAGAGTGTTAGTGTTATGGTTTTTCTTATTTGGTGTAGTTTTTAAATTACCTGTGCTAACACCTAAATTAGCAGCAAGAGATTGGATTATGAGGGCAAATATTAATCCAACCAGTATCACCCACAATAACTGCAAATAAACAACCAAAGTTAAAACTCAAAAAAGAGAGAGAAAAGTGGCCTTTAATTGTTTTTTTTCATTTTTTGTATCTTTTGATGTTACCTCATATCCATAGCTAGCGCCCGCTTGCAAATCAGTTTCCACTGTAACATGACAAAATTGATGTTTAGAATTTGAAAATTTTAAATTTAAAACTTTATACTATGTGCTATACTAAAGAAAACGAATATTGTTGTTACATAGCCTATACTTCATGTTAGGAAAAGCAAACTTACTGTTGCCTGGATCTAGGTAAGCCATGGAGACAAGAAAACCAGGACCTACATGAGACAAGAACCTTCGCCATCCAGGTTTCTAAACAAATCAATGAAATAATCTAAGAAGAATCTCAAATGTTCAAAACTTAAGTATTAATTACTGATAATGAAGTAGAAGTAAATTAGGATGAATTAAATGCCAAAAAATGAAATTAATTGACATCTATAAAAGACCTGATCAGCTGGCTCATCTTGACCAAGATGATCAAAATGTTTACTGTTGTTGTTATTGTCGAAGGACAACGGTGGAGGGCTGAGTTCCTCCACATTGAGAGCCACTATGCGGTTGCTTCCTCCGCCCCTAGACGGCGGGGCGGCTCCATCACTCTCTAGTTGTTGCTGCTGCAGGCTTGCCATATCTAGCTAGCTCTCTCTTAATGTGTGTCGACTAGAAAGCCTGAGTGAAAATTAAATCTAAAACCATGTATTTATAGTGAGGATCAGGCATTAGTTGTTTGTTTGGATTCAGGACAGGACAGCTTAGCACTCTCTCAGTCTGTCTCCCTTTTTGCCACGAAACGGTGCAGTAGCATCCAGTCACTGTCTTCACTTAAAGAATGACGACAGTTGAATACTAATTAAAGGGTTTATTACTAGTTGTACATAAACACATTTTATTACTAAGGGTTTGTTCCCAGTGAGATATTTAGGAATCATTTTTCCTCTAAAACATTTAATATTTAGGAATAAAGAGAGTAATTAATAAGTTTATAAACACAAATTTAAGGACCAACACTCAAATTGATTTTGTGACAATAGTTGATAAATCTCACATTGATAAAGTATAAAAGTGATATTAAGTACATAAATCAATACTTATTAGTATAAATTGACACATTTTAAAACTGTAAAATTTAATGGATTCAAATGAATACCATTATTCAGGCATGATCGGTCTTTCTAGTTTTTGGGTCTGATTATAGTTTGTATTGGTTGCTGGGTTTGTTTTGTTTTGCTTAGACCTTTTTATTTTGTATATGAGTTGGAGTACGTTTGTACTTCTTAAAATAATAAAATTTATTTACCAATTAAAAAAAAAAAGAAGCTGAGTTGTTATAAATTTAAAAAACAATCATATAGGAAAGAACAATCATTTTTTTACTAGAGAAAAATGAGAAAGCGATAGATCACTTAATTTAGCAGTTTAGTGGTTGAAGTTTATCTGATAACCTTGGTGATATAAATAGCTAATTAATAATTAATAGTTGATGCCAATTAAAAAAGAGCAACTGTTCGAAAGGAAAAAAGATAAAGAAAAAAAGGATGGTGAAAGTAACTACTAGCTGATAAGATGTTTGTTTGATTTAATTGACCCTTAGCATCGCAAGTGGCTTCCATTGTTTTTGAAAATTATGATATATATGATGACAACTTCAAGCACCCCGGATTAATTTTTTAGAACTAACAGATGCAAAAAAAGAAAGGAGAGCTAATGAATATAGTCAATCTTTAATTTGATTACTTTTTTTTTTTTGGTACATAATCTTAAGTTGATTAGTTGAGTAATTAATTTAATCAACCGTAAGCATCCATTGGAACTCCACAAATAATAAGAACAACAACTACATTGTGTGCGTATTAGTTGTAACATGATGCATGCCATTCCCTTTCCCTTTTAATCGACTCAACCTTTCTGTCTCTGGTAAATTGTTTTTATTCAAAATATGTCATGAGTGATGCTTAGTAGCATACTAGTTTCGCTTTTAATTTACTTTTCTGGCTCCAGTCGGTTAAATTCAATTATGTGCATGTCTAAATATTTAGATTTAACAGTTAATAACCTAAATAATTTAGTAGTTCTCTCATTCCGTTAGAAGTAAGAGGTTTTGAAATCAAATCGCATAACATGCGTGTGAGGTGGGATAAAGAGTGGAGGATGATTGCTTCTTATTGTGGAATCAAAATAAATAAATAAATAAATAATAAATAAATAAATAAATATATATATATATATATATCTAGACCTAACAAATGAATACATTGGATTGGATTAGAGTCAAGTCAGTAAAGTGCACAGGTCGGACAAGTTAATTAGGTCAAACGAGTTTGTAAGTTGTGATTCAATCTATAGTAATCGTTGTTAAGTAAGGTTAAAATACATTGCAAATCAAAAATCCATTTTAATTAGACTTACGGATTGACAGGTTGATTCAACTTTCACTAAGTTTAAGTATGTCAATTCCGATCGTATTAATTCGAGAGACTGTAAAATGATTGAAGAACAGGTTAAGCAGTTTATCATGCTGTAAGCCGGCTAGCGTTTAGGTTCCACAACCACCCCGTAGGCTGCAGCCAAATTCATGTCTCATCTATCATAAAAATGGAGCTTGTACCTACTAGTTGACAATACTTACTAATATGGTGTTTAGGGTTCTCAATCATGATCGGTAGATTAAATTCACTGCACCAATTATGTTGATAATTAAGAACTTTGTTTCTTAAATATAGTGTTTAAATATGATATAAATCATTTTTCAAATTTTAAGCCACACTTATCACCATTTGACATCATTTTCATTAAATTAATTCCTAACTTGTTGATGACGTATATTCCTATGTATTCTAATATATGAAAAAATTATATTATAATTTGTTTAAAAAATTAATAATAATAAGGAAAAATGGTGTACCAACCTGACTTTTATAAAAAATTTAGAGTCTTAATTTTAAAAATACTACACTTCATTAAATATTTTCAAAAATGATTAATTAGATTTAATATTCTAATGATACAAATCATGCATATTAATTTTTAAATTGATTTAACTCCTATAATTTTTTAATTAAGAAACTTATATATTCTAATATATATTTAACGGTAATAAGTTTTTTATAATCATTGAACATTTTATATATACTCAAACAATCTGAAAATTGATAGACATGATTTATATGAATAAAACATTAAATTTAACTGTTGATTTTTAAAAATATTTATCAAAAAGTGATATTTTTAAAGTTAAAACTCTAATTTTCTTTTAGAAGTTAGAATTAATATTCCTTATCTTCTAATAATAATAATAATAATAATAAAAATAAAAGGAGTAAGCATGAAACATTATGCCATGATACGTAATTAACTTTAAATTAAAAAGTTGATCTTCAAAAGCAAAGCTTTTAAACGGGAGATTTGAATCTAAGATATTGCAACATCGTCTTAATCTGTTCTTTAACCAATAACGTGAAATCCTAGTTAATTTTGATTGGGCTCCACGCCGGGATTGTTGGCGACGAAGTTAGAATGATTGAGGTTAATTATATGGGTTCAAATATGTGTGCAGATATACAGAACAACTTATCAGTATCCAAATCTACGTTAGGGTCCCTTTCAAATAACAAAATAATGGTTGCGTGAACAGCATGACTAGGTCTCTCCACTTCTAATCCGGGAAAGTGAATTGATCCTGGAAACCAACTCTCTTTAATATAACATTTTCATTGACTTCATTAAAAAAAAAAAAATTATGATGAACACTATCACTTCAATGTTCTCAGCATTGCATAACTTTCTATTAATTTTTAGAGTTCTTAAGTGTATATAGAAGGCATGTGCGTTCTCGTTCCGACCACGTTCTCACACGTACATGTTTTTTTAACAGATTATTTACGTTTTCTTCGGTCAATTACAACTGCGCAGTAATGAAGATAAAATTCTGTTTTGGTGGATGTAACCTTGTATATAAAGAATGAGGACTATGCATCCGACCACCAAATAAACGGTCTGATTTTAGTGGTGGAATGTAGAATCAATTGAACGCAGGATTTTAACATTATTTTTCTTAAAATCTTAACTTGGGATCTCCATTTTTTAGATTTTTAGAACCTATGATAAAGCTTATACCTAACCTTTCAATAATATGGTTCCACTATTGTTTGATTTAGTTGAAGCACGACATATTAAGTTGGTCCAAAGTTCTTTAATTAGATTTCTTATGCTAATGTATGGATAAAAAAGTATTCACATGAACCGTGTGCTAAGAGCAATTTTGCAGTTAAACCAACAAAAATGAAACCACCTGACCATCCAACCAAACAAAAATTATTCATGAAATGTTGGCGTTGTTGTTGTTGTTTTTTTTTTTCTTTTTTTTTTTTACATCAATGAAATAGACTAAATGGTAGAACATTTTGTACAATGGGTGGCTAGAAAATTAATTTTATTTTTTCTTGTTCTATTTTTGACAAAGATAAATTTTTTTATTAAAATTTTACTATTTTAATGAGAAGGGAAATGAGGACTATTGAGATAAAAAACAATATCAATAAAGTGTTAATAACTAAAACAGATGACAAATGTCATTGTATATTAAAGTGTGATTGTGAATGATATAAAAGTCAACACATTGTGATAGGTGAAATCTTTTTCAACTATTAAATTTTAAGTTCGAACCTAAAAACGAAGTATTTAAGAACAGAGAAAGAGGTAACTATCTAATCATTATTAAATTAAAAAAAAAATTTGGGTGCATAGTGAAGTTAGGCACGTGCTTTCTTGCTTGTACCATAATTCAGGAGCATATATATAGTAGCCAGGCACGAGCTATCTTGCTCGGACCATATTCTTGCACGCCCTCTATGTGCATGTTTTGTTACAGATAATTTACTATAACATATGATTAAATAGAATATCAAAAGAATATTAAAAAAGATTAAGTGAAGAATTCCTTTCATAATACTATATATATATAAAACAAAGCTTAAAACGTTACACCCGTGCCCAGGTACGCATCAGGAATTTTTGATGGTATAAAATTTCATTTCAGTGGATTAAGATAACAAAAGTTGATAGCCACTGTGATTCAGAAACAGGCATTATATCCTTAATAAAATAAAACACTATTCAAATAAATTCAAGACACATTTGAACAAAAAGACTACTCTCATCTTACCTTCCATACAAATTAAACATTTTTCAAGAACTTGCAACCTAAGCTTTATTTACCTCAAAATAAGTAAATAAATAAATCTCAACTTAAGCTTTTCTGTCAACTCTCAAAAGAGAACTCTTGAGGCATGTTGCAAAGGGCTCGCATTGTGTTGCTGGTCATATCCAGCAACTGCACGTACTCATCTGCACCTTCAACTACGCACTGCAGATCCCGCCACATGCTTATGTTAGAATTACGCCAATAAATCCATATAAAAGATACTTTGATTAGAGAAGGAAGAAAATATATGCATATGAAGAGGGTGGATTTCTGCAGTAAGTTTAAGGACAATGATTAATTGGTATACATTTCGGTTCAACATACTGCGTGACTTATTCATTAAAAAATCACTATTTTTTAATCTGAAATTAAATTTATACAAGTTTCATAATATAATTATGCATACAGGATACATAAACCGATTGAATTGATAGTATTTATATTATATTTTTAATAACTAAACCGCAAGTGTGTCAAAAAATGTGTTAAACCGAGGGTGTACTAATCATTTTCCTAAATTTAAACACATGCAATAAAAATAGGCCAATATGGGGAAATAACCTTATCTGCTTCACCCAAATTCTTGCAAATTCTAGCTAGCTTTCTGTTCGTCTGAGATATCATCTGCCTTAACAACCACATTAAATAACTAAAGAAATATTCTGTTAGTACTTTGTATATCTAGCAACTGATAATAGTAGCCAAGCTCGCTGGCTGGCTGAAAATAAAGAAATGGAACCTGAGAAAGCATCTGAGAAATTGGATATCCTTCTGCAATAACTTTATCAACTACCTTCTTTGCCAAATCAAAGTTCCCACTTTTGCATGCCGCGTAAATTTCCTGAACAACCTCCAGAGGAATAACCTAATAAAAGGAAATTTGAGAGTCAGGATAGGCAAAATCAAAGTCCCATGTTTAGAAGATTTTATTTAGTTGCATCAAAACAAGATTTCTGAAAAAAAAAAAGCACCGGGGGAAAGCATCAAGAAAGTGCACTAGGATTGCAATTCAGCAAATTTCAAACTACATTATAGCAACTCTGTAGACTACAAATAGGTTGGTGCAATTTTGTCAAAAATGACCACTGAATTCTGCAAAGATCGCTTACTCCCAATTGCATTTTTATTTTTCATTTATTGCCTTGTGTTAGATTTCGCTTATAAATAATCATGTTCCCTCCATTGTATGGATCAGTTTTATCAGTTAATCAAGTTTCAATTCTCCTCTATTTTCAGTGACTTTCTTAGGAGTGGATTCTCTCAATTTATTTCTATATCTTAGGTCTTGGCAACCTAAGTGGTATTCCTGGCAATCGAATTCATCGTAGTGGGATTTTGAATCTCACCAAAATCAGTGTTTCGGTATCAACTCATATGCCATTTGGTATAAGAGCCAATATATTTGAGGTCTGCATGTCATTCTGAGCGTTTTGGTGAAAAATCGATCGTCGAACAAGGCTAAACGTGCCTCCACACGCCACCGCAATTTTCTCACGCGCCAATCTTCTTCAACCTTCACACTGCCACTTCATCACGCCACATCATCACCACATCATCGACACGTCATCATCCAATCACTACCACATCATCCATTTGCCATGTCATATGTGCCACGTCATTAGCCATGTCACCTAACATGTCACTGACATATCATCACAACACCGCATTCTGTTGCCATGTCATCAAGTCCCTCAACTCATTTTGACCTTACAAATTGGTCCCCATACTTTTATAAATTTCAAATTACCCCCATTTCCAAAAACTAACTTTTCAAAAAGCCCCTTACTAACCTAAACTCAACATGCCACCTAGAAGAGAAAATCCTCCTTATCAATGAGCTGTTCGAGACATAGAAATGGAAGAATTACATCAACAAATTCAAAGGCTTCAAGAAAGACTCGAAGCTTTTAAGGGTAAATAAGCTCAACACCGCAAGATGAACCACACGAGTCAGAGAAAGATACTGACGACGAGAATCCCTTCCATCACTTAAAGGATGATGAAAGCTCATCGTCAACAGAAAGAGTTCGTCATAGACGTCCCCAACAAAATGTTGCTCCCAAATCCACCAACCTTGGCATTAAAATCGATATTCCAAATTTTGAAGGTCACCTTCAACCAAATGAATTTATCTATTGGTTGCACATTGTGGAACGTGTATTTGAACTCAATGATATTCTCGATGACAAGTGTGTAAAGCTTGTCGCCATCAAATTAAAGAAACATGCATTCATTTGGTGGGAGAATCTCAAGCATAGCCGAGAAAGGGAAGGCCACAGCAAAATTAGAACTTGGAAGAAAATGTGTCGGGAACTCACTCGTAAGTTCTTACTTGACCGTTACTACCAAGATAAGTTTGTTAAATTTCATAACTTGCAACAAAAATCTTTGATTGTTGAAGAATATGCCATGGAGTTTGAACAATTAATGATGAAGTGTAATGTTCAAGAAAAGGAAGAGCAAACCATAGCAAGATATCTTGGAGGATTAGACAATGACATTTCCAAAGTTGTTCAACTTCAACAATATTGGACTTTGGATGATGTCATTCGGCTAGCATTAAGGGTTGAAAAGCAAGTCTCAAGGAAGAGTATTACTAGCACTTCAAAACCACGAGATTTTGGAGCCAATCGAGAGACCCAAGTCTCAAAAAATGTTGCCAAGTCCCTTACCAAAGTTGAAAAGGAAGCTAGTTTGAGCCGTCCAGCCCAACCTAACACTCAAAAGTGTTTCAAGTGTCAAGGATTTGGCCACATTGCCTCAGATTGTCTAAACAGGAGAGTTGTCACCATTATTGGAGGAGAGGTTCACCAAGCCTTAGAAGATGAAGCAAAAAAGGAGCATCATGATGAGATTGAGCCACCACAACTTAAGGAAGAACTCATCACAGTTGACCATGGAGAATCTTTGGTTGTGCGTCGTAGTCTTCATGCTACCATAACCAATGATGAAGGTTGGCTCCGACATAACATCTTTCACACCATATGTACTTCCCGAGGGAAAGTTTGCGACGTCATCATCAACAATGGAAGTTGTGAGAATGTTGTGTCCAATTATATGGTTGAAAAGCTAAGACTGCCCGTCAAAGATTATCCCCATCTATACAAGCTACAATGGTTGCGAAAGGGAAATGAGGTAAAAGTAACTAAACATTGCCTTGTGTCTTTTTCCATTGGTAATAGGTACCAAGACGAAGTATGGTGTGATGTTTTTCCTATGGACACCTATCATTTGTTACTTGGTCGCCCCTGGCAATTTGATCGAAAGGCTATCCATGACGGCCATGCCAACACCTACTCATTTGTGAAAGATGGTGTGAAAATCAAGCTCACTCCCTTGAAGCCTGAAGATATACTTGAAAAGAAGGATGAGAACAAGGCTTTAATCTCTAGATCAGCCTTTCAAAAGTTGCATCGAGAATTTGGAATAGTGTGTCTCTTGCTATTATCCAAAGTAAATGATGCCACTTGCCTTTTTCCAGAAGAGATTCGATCTCTCCTTGAAGAATTTCTAATGTTGTTCTTGACAAGATTCCTCTTGGATTACCACTGTTGAGAGACATTCAGCATGCCATTGATTTCATCCTAGGATCTATCATCCCAAACAAGCCTGTTTATTGGATGAACCCTCAAGAGTATGCAGAACTTCAACAACAAGTCAAAGAGTTGATAGAGAAAGGACTTGTCAAGGAAAGTGTTAGCCCATATGCCATGCCTGTGCTACTAGTCCCAAAGAAAGATGGAACTTGGAGAATGTGTGTAAATAGTTGAGTAGTCAACAAAATCACTATCAAGTACCGCTTCCCAATTTCACGCCTTGATGATATGCTTGATCAGCTGCAT